GACCCCCGGCTGCGGCAGCTCTACCTGTCCCCCCCTCTGGCTCTGACCCCCCCCTTCAGCCCCTCAGTGAGGGAGTACCGGGCCGAGGTGACCTTTGACCTCCTGACGGTGCGAGTCCGACCCGAACCCATGAGCAGCGCCTGCCGCGCTCACCTGGACCAGCACCTGGGCCCCAGGTGAGACCAGATAACAATACTAATACAGGTCTCACCTGGACCAGCACCTGGGGACCAGAGGCCTGTACTACGAAGCCGGATGTTCTCTTAGCTGACTTCAGGGTAATCTCTGGCTTTCCGGTCCTACGACGCTGGTTCTCTTTTTAGCGGGCTAGATCTCCATGGTAACTGATGCTGAGCGGCAAACCTGCTCCGGAGCAGGTTAGGTTGCAGGCTAAGAGATCAACTCAGTGAAAGCACCGCCTGCTGACCAATCAGAGCTCCGTGTGCGGAGTTTAAAGCTATCAATTCATATTACAGGATAGAGGAAATACAGAAAAACTGCCGTTGCAGGAAAGACGGCCGGCAAAAATCACCTGACTGTGTGAACGTGAAAATTAATAGAATATCACCTCCCATCTTCAGAGCAATCTGACTATTATAACATTAGCGTTAAGAAAGCTTACTTAAATATCTGCCACAACATAAGTAACCGGATCAGAGTAACATTAAGTACAGTCCGCGGCACTGTGAGTGCAGACGGCGATGTGTCCCATTATCATTCATATCATATCACATCATAATGTATCATATATCTCCTTATCTGAGTCAGCTGAGCCGTATCTGGCCGTGCAACACTCACAGTGTCACATACTGTATGCAGAAGTATTATTTTAAGCAACACATTAAGTTGACGAAACACTGGAGTCAAATGTAATGAAAGTCAGATCGTGTCTTAGACGGGGCAGTGATATCATAAACCTGTTAATGTACGCATTCAAACACTTTCTCTGTTACCAGCTGTATTCACCTTGCAGGTGCAGCTATGTGGCTTTGATCCTGGATAAAGTGTTTAAGTCATGGATGTTTAAAGTTTAACTTCTTCATATTTGACTAATATTAAAGTTCACTTTTCATTCAGGAAGTATGACGCTGCGCTGTCAGTACCAGGGTCAGCTCTAGAACAAATCGAATGGGGGGGCAATCATTTACCACGGGGGGGCACACACTGCCGACAACAACCAACGCAACTTCAATTTAAACAAACATGCTGTAAAGTGTCTCTCACACACACTGCAGGGTGTCGTGTATCTTATAGCGCACCTATGAATATGACTACATGCACGGTTGTGGCACGACCACCCAAACAGAAACATACGGACATAGGCCACCATATAAAAAGTGTGCAGATGTATTTAGTATCCATGTGAACATGTTTTAGGTGGGGGGGGAACCTAACCTCCTCTAGGGGGGTCCGGGGGCATGCTCCCACGGGAAGATTGTTTTTTTTAAATATAGAAGTTGAAAGCATCAATCTGGTGCACTTTGAGAGCAACATGAGAGATCTATGGACACCTCTCTCAACACCAGATGAAACACAACTGGAAACAGATTGACTTTTTCTTTATGCATATTTTACAAATCACTCTCCTTTCAAACTGTATTCTGGTGTTACTGTCATATAGTATTTCAAACCTTTTTTTCATTTATTCTCTTATTTTTTTAATAACTATAATGATCATATGAAGGTGTGCCTCGGAAATACTTGTTTACACAAATGGTGACCAAATCGTTTGAGACTGAGATAACTTAGAACTCTCTAAACCCTGAGAGAGTCCTTGACTGAGCTGACGTTATAAGATCCTCTCAGTCTGTCAGGAGAGGACTCTCAGGCTGAGAGGAGAGGACTCTCAGTCTGTCAGGAGAGGACTCTCAGTCTGACAGGAGAGGACTCTCAGTCTGACAGGAGAGGACTCTCAGTCTGACAGGAGAGGACTCTCAGTCTGACAGGAGAGGACTCTCAGTCTGACAGGAGAGGACTCTCAGTCTGACAGGAGAGGACTCTCAGTCTGACAGGAGAGGACTCTCAGTCTGAGAGGAGAGGACTCTCAGTCTGACAGGAGAGGACTCTCAGGCTGAGAGGAGAGGACTCTCAGTCTGACAGGAGAGGACTCTCAGTCTGACAGGAGAGGACTCTCAGTCTGACAGGAGAGGACTCTCAGTCTGACAGGAGAGGACTCTCAGTCTGACAGGAGAGGACTCTCAGTCTGACAGGAGAGGACTCTCAGTCTGTCAGGAGAGGACTCTCAGTCTGTCAGGAGAGGACTCTCAGTCTGACAGGAGAGGACTCTCAGTCTGACAGGAGAGGACTCTCAGGCTGACAGGAGAGGACTCTCAGTCTGACAGGAGAGGACTCTCAGTCTGACAGGAGAGGACTCTCAGTCTGACAGGAGAGGACTCTCAGTCTGACAGGAGAGGACTCTCAGTCTGACAGGAGAGGACTCTCAGTCTGACAGGAGAGGACTCTCAGTCTGACAGGAGAGGACTCTCAGTCTGACAGGAGAGGACTCTCAGTCTGACAGGAGAGGACTCTCAGTCTGACAGGAGAGGACTCTCCTCCACCTGAGAAACAGCTCTTTATATCCGTTAGCATAGCTAGCTAACCAGATGCTAACAACAACATTCCACGTTACCGCTCGCGCATTCACAAAATGCGCTCGTGCCACACACACACACACACACACACACACACACACACACACACACACACACACACACACACACACACACACACACACACACACACACACACACACACACACACACACACACACACACACACACACACACACACACACACACACACACACACACACACACACACAGAAGCACTTGTTCTGTACATCATATGATGTTCCATGGCTTTACTGTAATCAGGGTAACACACTGCCACGTAATGATAACAAAACAAAGGTCGGGGGTCATTGGTCAAGCAGCACACCAATCAGAGAGCAGCAGTGAGCACACCTCAATTACCGAGTTGATAACCAGCGCCGTAGGACCGCTTAGCGAGAGCACGTTTGTTTTGGGTTAGGTTAGATAACTCAAACATATCCAGGGTCTGTTGGACCGGGTTCAGAGCACAGGCCTCAGGTGAGACAACAATACTAATACAGGCAAATACAAAGTTACCTGTTGATTAATGAGCAATAATAGCCAAATATTAATAATTTAAAAAAAATCACTGTATCACTTTATCACTGTATTATTATTTTAATTAGTATTCTATATTATCTGTATTTCTGTGTGAATGCTGTTTTTAACCCGGACCTGTTGCTGCTATAAACGCCTGCATTTCCCCAAGAGGATAAATAAAGTTCCATCTTATCTTAAATAAATAAACCCTAACCCTTCTGATTGGTCCTCAGCATGGCAGTCTTCCCCCTCGCCCTCGGCGACAGCAGCATCATCATCCTGGTGACGGGCGGCAAGGAGCCCGTCGTCATGGCGACCTACAGCGTGCAGGTGACCCGCGACAGCCGGCCCAGCCTGCCCATGTTCGGAGATCATGTGACCTGCAGCTTCCTGCAGGTAGGCACGCTGCGCTCCCATTGGCCGCTGAGCTGCGATGTCATAATGTGGGGTTTTATAGGATTCTGGATTCTTTATTTATTTATTTGTAATGTTTCTGGACTTTTTTAAGAAGAAAATATATGAAAAAACACAACACTTATTTAAAGAATAGCAAACAATAAATCTAAATTAAATATAAAAGTAACCTACATAAAATAAGTAAACAAAACAAAAAATATTTTCAAAACATTATAATAACATTATAATAACATTATAATAACATTATAATAACATTATAATAACAAAACTTTGAAAAGTTTCAGAAAATATGTAGAAAGATGTGATTATAAATGAAAGAGCCGAAACAACAACAATTTCACAGCATGAAGGATTAAAGCCGGTGTGTGTGTGTGTGTGTGTGTGTGTGTGTGTGTGTGTGTGTGTGTGTGTGTGTGTGTGTGTGTGTGTGTGTGTGTGTGTGTGTGTGTGTGTGTGTGTGTGTGTGTGTATGTGTGTTCCTCGCGGCGGCAGTGTTTGACTCTGCCTCAGAGCTCAGGTACGAACAAGAAAATCCCTGTTAAGTTTTCTTATGGCACGCTGTCGCTACAGACAGCAGCTAGCAGAGGAATCTCACACCTCTGAGTGTGTGTGAGGGTGTGTGTGTGTGTGTGTGTGTGTGTGTGTGTGTGTGTGTGTGTGTGTGTGTGTGTGTGTGAGTGTGTGTGTGTGTGAGGGTGTGTGTGTGTGCGTGTGTCTCTGATGTGGGGCCAGACCTGGCGGCGGCCGGTTATTTTGACCTCTGACCTCTGACCAGAGGAGGACGCTACGCAGATCTGAAACACCACAGAAGAAGAAACGCTTTGATTTAGAGAACAGAAGAAGAAGAGAAAGAGGCGGAAGCACCTCTTTTCACCCTCTGTCTGAAACCAGAGCCCAGTCTGCTCTGATTGGTTAGCTGGCCGGCTTTGTTGTGATTGGTCAACAGCTTAGAGATGTCCCGCCCCCTTTAGCCTATCACGTACAAAGTGTTGGAGCGCTAGCCAATAGGAGCGTGAGTGTTCCGTAGTGATGTCACTATGTTCCAGAAGTAAACAAAGGAGTCCAATGGAGGCGGTTCAGGCAGGGAGGGGGGGAGAAGACCTGTCTCTCTCTCACCTGTCTCTCACCTGTCTGTCTCTCACCTGTCTGTCTCTCACCTGTCTGTCTCTCTCTCACCTGTCTGTCTCTCACCTGTCTGTCTCTCTCTCACCTGTCTGTCTCTCACCTGTCTGTCTCTCACCTGTCTGTCTCTCACCTGTCTGTCTCTCACCTGTCTGTCTCTCACCTGTCTGTCTCTCACCTGTCTGTCTCTCACCTGTCTGTCTCTCACCTGTCTCTCACCTGCTTGTCTCTACCTGTCTGTCTCTCACCTGTCTGTCTCTCTCTCACCTGTCTGTCTCTCACCTGTCTGTCTCTCTCTCACCTGTCTGTCTCTCACCTGTCTGTCTCTCACCTGTCTGTCTCTCTCTCACCTGTCTGTCTCTCACCTGTCTCTCACCTGCTTGTCTCTACCTGTCTGTCTCTCACCTGTCTCTCTCACCTGCTTGTCTCTACCTGTCTGTCTCTCACCTGTCTCTCTCACCTGTCTGTCTCACCTGTCTGTCTCTCACCTGTCTCTCTCACCTGTCTGTCTCTCACCTGTCTGTCTCTCACCTGTCTGTCTCTCACCTGTCTGTCTCTCACCTGTCTGTCTCTCTCTCACCTGTCTGTCTCTCACCTGTCTGTCTCTCTCTCACCTGTCTGTCTCGCCTGTGTGTCTCACCTGTCTGTCTCGCCTGTGTGTCTCACCTGTCTGTCTCTCACCTGTCTGTCTCTCAGGACTGTGGTCTGGTGGTGCACCCTGGTCTCCCCTGTGGTCTGCAGCCCTTCATCAGGACGCTCAGCCCCCCCCTCACCTGCAGCTCAGGACACCATCCAGGTGAGGGGGGGGTTTACCTGTCTCACCTGTCTTACCTGTCTTAACTGTCTTACCTGTCTTACCTGTCTTACCTGTCTCACCTGTCTTACCTGTCTCACCTGTCTTACCTGTCTTAACTGTCTTACCTGTCTTACCTGTCTTACCTGTCTCTGTCTCTCACCTGTTGTACCTGTCTCAGGTGTGTGGGTGGTGCCGTGTCTCACCTGCTCTGACAACAGGACGTGTGATTGGAGGGAGGTTACCTGGCAACCAGACGGCTGTTACCACCCGCAGGTCTCCCCCCCCCTGCTGCAGGCCTGTCTGACGGACAGGAAGGTGAGACCAGCTGATCCACACCTGTCTCACCTGTCTCACCTGTCCCCCTGTCTCACCTGTCTCACCTGTCCCCCTGTCTCACCTGTCTCACCTGTCCCCCTGTCTCACCTGTCTCACCTTTCCCCCTGTCTCACCTGTCTCACCTGTCTCACCTGTCTCACCTGTCTCACCTGTCTCACCTGTCTCACCTGTCTCACCTGTCTCACCTTTCCCCCTGTCTCACCTGTCTCACCTGTCTCACCTGTCTCACCTGTCTCACCTGTCTCACCTTTCCCCCTGTCTCACCTGTCTCTCACCTGTCTCTCACCTGTCTCACCTTTCCCCCTGTCTCACCTGTCTCACCTGTCTCTCACCTGTCTCACCTTTCCCCCTGTCTCACCTGTCTCACCTGTCTCTCACCTGTCTCTCACCTGTCTCACCTTTCCCCCTGTCTCACCTGTCTCTCACCTGTCTCTCACCTGTCTCACTCACCTTTCCCCCTGTCTCACCCTGTCTCACCTCTCTCACCTGTCTCACCTTCCCCCTGTCTCACCTGTCTCACCTGTCATCACCTGTCTCACCTTTCCCCCTCTCACCATGTCTCTCACCTGTCTCACCTGTCTCACCTCTCTCACCTCTCTCACCTGTCTCACCTGTCTCACCTTTCCCCCTGTTTCACCTGTCTCACCTGTCTCACCTTCTCCTTCCCCTGTCTCACCTGTCTCACCTGTCTCTCACCTGTCTCACCTGTCTCACCTCTCTCACCTCTCTCACCTGTCTCTCCTGTCTCCCCTGTCTCACCTGTCTCACCTGTCTCTCACCTGTCTCTCACCTGTCTCACCTGTCTCACCTTTCCCCCTGTCTCACCTGTCTCTCACCTGTCTCACCTGTCTCCCCTGTCTCACCTGTCTCACCTTTCCCCTGTCTCACCTGTCTCCCCTGTCTCCCCTGTCTCACCTGCCCCCCCACCCCCCCTCAGGTGCTGTTCATCGGGGACTCCACTAACCGCGGGATGATGTACTTCCTGTTGGAGCGGGTGAACTCCAGCCTGCAGGTGTGGGGGCGGAGCCACGACCTGCAGGTGTATGAGCACCTGAACCAGGACCGGACCCTCGTCAGCTACTATTACTACCCCCGCTTCTGGGAGGACAAGGACCAGAGACCCACCTTCAGACAGAGCCTGCTGCAGCTCATACACAGGTGAGGGGCGGGGACACACCTGGGGAGGGCACATACCTGGGGAGGGGACACACCTGGGGAGGGGACACACCTTTAGTATCAACAACTTTAATGAGGGGAGACACCTGGGGAGTGTTAACGAGGACATGTGTTGTGTCTCCTGAAGGTCGCGCCCTCTGGTGAACTCTAAGCAGACGGTGCTGGTGGTGGGGGGGGGTCCAGTGGCTGAAGGTGGATCACCTGAGGACCGTCAGAGAGGTGCTGGACAGGTGAGCAACAACACAACATATCAATTAAACATTAACTAGACATCCATTTTTTCATTTAATTTCAAACCTTTATTTATCCAGGTGAATCCCTTGAGATCATTGATCTCTTTTTCAAGGGAGACCTGCTCAAGTAGGTTCCACATGAAACAGAACAACAAAAAGGACATCATACAGCATCATTACAGGGGTTACAATTTACAACTAGAGAATGCAATTCCTGAAGAAATTGCTAGTGGGAATGCTTTATGCTGAAAAGCTGACGCTAAACTGCTATGCTGAAATGTAATGTGTAAGAAAGTGAAGAATTTAGATTGAAATGATACATGAACACTGGGGGCTTGAATGTGTGATGAGAGAAAAGAGAGTAAAAAGGCTTGGAAAAGCAGCAGAATATTTGAACTGCAAACTTTTGGACTAACTTGATGGTGAATGATCTGTCACCATGCCAACGGCATTTGATGACATCCCATAATACGCTTAGATGCGTTGATGGCTGCATCGTTACCAAACCTGTGAAGTTTTGGGCCGTTTGGAGCATTTTCACTGAAGTTGTGAGAAAACCGTGTTTCATGGTGAGCATTGTGTTGCCAAGGCAACGGCATTTGAAGAAATCTTAAAACTGTCAAATAGATGTCTTCACGGCTGGACTATTAGCATACGTGAAGTTTGAGCACTTTTTGACCATTTTCATAGGAATTATAGCAATATCGTGTTTTACGGCGAGGGATGCGTTGCCATGGCAACAGCTTTTGAGGAAAACTCACTAATGGCACATAGACTTGTTGAGGGCTGGACCATTAACTGTCATCTGAAGTCTGGTGCTGTTTTTACCCTTTTCATAGGTGTTACGACAACATCGTGTTTTATGGCGAGGGATGCGTTTCCATGGAAACGGCATATGGTGAGATCTCAGATTTGGCGTAGAGCTGTTGAGGCATGGACCGGTGGTATACAAGCGAAGTTTGGGGGACGATCGGACCGTGTCCATTGGAGTTACAGCGACATCTTGTTTTATGGCGAGGGATGCGTTCCCATGGAAACGGCATATGATGACACCCCATAATTGACGTAGAGCTGTTGAGGGCAGGACCATTATCTGAAGTCTGCTGCTCTGAGCATGTCAGTTGGAGTTATGACATCATCGTGTTCCATTACACAGGTGTTTATATTTGAGCTAACGACGTGTCCAGAGATCAAAGGTTTCCATGGTGATGTGCAGTAATCAGTGAGAGGAGAGCATTTGCATTGTTCTGAATGAGAGATAAAGCTCTTACATGTGAACGTTTTGTTGAAGAACCGTAACAGATATCGGTGAAATTTCAAAGCGTGAATCATGTCAAGGAACTTGAGTATCTGAAGTGTACTTTTGGTGTACTTTCGGGTTAATAATGTGGCCTTTTTGGCAGTTTAACTAAAGGCGTGCGGCTGCTGTGGTGGGGAAAGATGAGGCTGAACTTACAATGGGGTTTAATGGAGACATGTTGAAAGTTTTTGTCACTTCATGCCCTCAAGAGGCATTTTGTTTAATTATTTTGCTTAAGTTTTTTTAATTTTTCAAGCTACGAGATGTTTTCCTACGTTTCTCATGAAAAATGATGTCTCAGGAATGTAGGGTTTGGGAATTATGGCAGGTTTAAAAGAAAATATGAAGGCAAAATTAAATCTGTCCTCCACTCTAGCTGTGACATCATGCACTCTAAAATCTGAAGAAAGCCTCTTTACCAAGGTCTGAACAATGTTTAATATCTCTAAAAGTACGAATCAGATTTAAAAGTTGTGTTACACGAATAATGTCAGAAAGATGTGTAACATTTTACAGTTGGAATGAGGTTTCTGAGTGAAAGTATGAATGAACAGTTAGCAGTTGAAGTTGCATGAAGATTGTTCAAGTCTGAAGAATTTCTCCATTGACTTCCATGTTAAAAATGTGATGTATTATGGGATGTATCTCTGGAATTATGAAAGTTATGAATGAGAAAAGTAATAGCCATCGATTCCCGACCGAGCTGAACGTTTTGATGTTTGAACGGAGTTTCTGCGATGTTCAATGTGGGAGAAGAAGAGCAGCAAAATAACCCGGCGGAATAATAAATAATTTTGTGCGTAGCATAACAGATAGTTGGAATGCTGTGTCAGCATTCCAACTAAATAACTATCCACATGCACAGGTACCAACAGCATCCGATTGTGTAGCATCCAACCAAGCTTTATAAACATTTAGTGGCACCAGATTGCTCAGTTTCCATTTCATTTGCAGACTATTCCAGGACAGAGGAGCTGCGCATCTAAAAGCTATCTTCCCTAAGACAGTCCTAGCAGTTGGCACATTTAATAAAACCACAGCATGCGATCTCAGGCAGTAGCCACTTACAATTCGCCGTGAGATCAGGGAGCAGATGTAGGATGGAAGTTTCCCTAACATGGCTTTATATATAAAAATGTACCAGTGACTGAGCCTCCGTACAGTTAGTGAAGGCAGACCTGCCCTTGCATACAGGGTACAGTGATGAGTTAATGCTTTACAGTTTGTCACAAGTCTCAGTGCGCTGTGATACGCAGCATCTAACTTGACCAGGCAATTGGCAGGTGCATTCATATAAATCAGATCACCATAGTCCAGCACAGGTCAAAAGGTCACAGAGCCTTTTCCTGGCCTCAAGTGAGAAACAGGACTTGTTCCTGTAGAAGAAACCTAGCCTAACCCTCAGTTTTTTAAGCAGGTTATTGACATGACGTTTAAAAGTAAGACAATCATCAAGCCAGATACCAAGGTATTTGTAACAGGCAACCACTTCAAGTTTTATTCCTTGCGTAGTTACAATATCTAAAACAGGCTCTGGTGTCTTTTTAGCTTTTGAAAAAAGCATTACCTTGGTTTTATCAACATTTAAAAGAAGCTGCACCCACTGCATGGCTGGATAAGCCAATACTGCGTTTGATAGCGTCGATCATCACATCTTAAAGCAGAGGCTACTCAGTATTGGCTTATCCAGCCATGCAGTGGGTGGTTTGTGAACTACCTCTCTGAAAGGTCCCAATGTGTTCACTTTGATGGGCTGTCTTCTGAGTGGTTAAACATTACTAATGGTGTTCCTCAAGGTTCTGTTTTAGGTCCACTTTTATTCTCCATCTACATCAATAGTTTAGGTGAAAATGTGGATGAAGCTACTTTACATTTTTATGCAGATGACACCGTGATGTACTGTGCATGTCCCTCCATTAAGGAGGCTGGTGTTAAATTACAGGCTGTTTTTAACATTATTCAGACTCAGCTCTCTGAACTAAAGCTTCTTTTAAATGTTGATCAAACCAAGGTAATGCTCTTTTCAAAAGCTAAAAAGACACCAGAGCCTGCTTTGGATATTGTGACTATGCAAGGACAAGTACTCCAAGTGGTTACCTGTTATAAATACCTTGGTATCTGGCTTGATGATTGTCTTACTTTTAAACTTCAGGTCAATAACCTGCTTAAAAAGCTGAGGGTTAGATTAGGTTTCTTTTTCAGAAACAAGTCCTGTTTCTCTTTTGAAGCCAGGAAAAGGCTCTGTGACCTTTTGACCTGTGCTGGACTATGGTGATTTGATCTATATGAATGCACCTGCCCATTGCCTGGAAAGGTTAGATGCCGCCTATCACAGTGCTCTGAGATTTGTTACTAACTGTAAAGCACTTACTCATCACTGTACCCTGTATGCCAAGGCAGGTCTGCCTTCACTTACTGTACGGAGGCTCAGTCATTGGAACATGTTCATCTACAAAGCCATGCTGGGTAAACTACCTTCTTATATCTGCTCTTTGATCTCACGGAGAGTGGCAAGTAGCTATTGCCTGAGATCCCAGGATGTGTTTTTATTACATGTGCCAAGTGCTAGGACTGTTTTAGGTACTAAAGCTTTTATGTGCGCTGCTCCTCTAGCTTGGAACACCATGCAAAAAACATTGAAACTGAGCATTTTGATTCCCTTGCATCATTTTAAAGCACGACTGGATGAAATGTTATTGGATACCTGTCACTGTGAATAGGTTGCTAATGTATACCCCTGTGATTATGTTGTGATGTCCTTTTGTTTTCTGTTGTTTTTATGTGTAACCAACGTGCCGCAGGTCTCCCTTGAAAAAGAGATCGTTGATCGCAATGGGATTTTTTAACCTGGTTAAATAAAGGCTACCAACAAACAAAACTGACCCCCCCCCCCCCCCCACAGAGAGTCTCTCAGTGACGTCCTGGTGGTGGTCAAATCTTTGGGGATGGGGTTCCACCTACCTGTGGACGGGATCCGGTCCCTCAGTCTGGTACGTTTCTGTTTCCTGTTTATATGACCTGTCCAACATGTGTGAAGCTCCTCTGTACTTCCTGTCTCTCCACCTATTGGCCGCTGAGCTGTGATGTCATAATGTGGGGTTTTAATCTAATATTTCCAACAAAAAAAAAATCTAATATTTACTATATATTTATATTATATTATTTTCTTTATTTTATAGTTTGGACTTTTGTTTTTTGTTTGCATTTTAAGGATTTTATTTATTAATTCTTTTAAGTTTTGGGACATTTATTTGGAACTTATTTAATGAATACAAATAAGATAAAAGTGATCTCTCCTCCAGAGAGAGATCCAGGACCTGTACAGGCAGAACCAGGACATCATCACTGCAGCAAAGCATCATGGGTACGAGGCGATCGACACCTTCAGCATCACCATGGGTCGCTTCAGAGACTTCCTGCAGGGCCGCTGCGCCTGCCACTTCCACCAGGTAACCAATCAGATCTCAGGTGAGACACCACATGATTCTGAAGCTCGTTAACAGGTACCTCATTAACTCCTACAGGTGGAGAAGTCCTCCAGGCCTTCAGACCCCATCACAGCCTCCAGAACCACACCTGAGCTCCAATCAGACGCCCAGCATCAAGAGAAGGAGGCGTGGCCTAGAGCCTCGACCTATCACGTGAGAGGACCAGTGAACCAGGTGTACTCTGAGATCCTGCTGAGCCGCCTGTGCCCCCGAAACACATGAGAGAGAGACAGGAAGTGGTTCTGATCCACACAACTACTTCCTGTTCATTCTTATGCACACTAGCTGCCTCTGAAGGACACTAGCTGCCTCTGAAGGACACTAGCTGCCTCTGAAGGACACTCGTTAGTCTATGATGTGTACTAGTTAGTCTATGATGTGTACTAGTTAGTCTATGATGTGTACTAGTTAGTCTATGATGTGTACTAGTTAGTCTATGATGTGTACTATCTAGTCTATGATGTGTACTAGTTAGTCTATGATGTGCACTAGTTAGTCTATGATGTGCACTAGTTAGTCTATGATGTGTACTATCTAGTCTATGATGTGTACTAGTTAGTCTATGATGTGTACTAGTTAGTCTATGATGTGCACTAGTTAGTCTATGATGTGCACTAGTTAGTCTATGATGTGCACTAGTTAGTCTATGATGTGCACTAGTTAGTCTATGATGTGCACTAGTTAGTCTATGATGTGTACTAGTTAGTCTATGATGTGTACTAGTTAGTCTATGATGTGTACTAGTTAGTCTATGATGTGTACTAGTTAGTCTATGATGTGCACTAGTTAGTCTATGATGTGTACTAGTTGGTCTATGATGTGTACTAGTTAGTCTATGATGTGTACTAGTTAGTCTATGATGTGTACTAGTTGGTCTATGATGTGTACTAGTTGGTCTATGATGTGTACTAGTTAGTCTATGATGTGTACTAGTTGGTCTATGATGTGTACTAGTTGGTGCACATTAACTAGTTTCTAATGCCCTAAATCTGGCTGCTTCACTTCAGGTATTTTCTGATGCCTACTAACAAGGGTCTGATACGTACAAACTGCTGCTGGTATCTTTTGTCATGTGACTAGTTATCTCTGCATACTAACTAGTGTCTGATGCATACTTACTAGTAGCTTATGTTTAGTAACGACCTAGTAGCTTAAGTACTACTAGTTTTCGTGCCCACTTACTTGTTTCTGATGCGTACTTGTTTATATTTGAAGTATAGGGTCTAGTTTCTGATGCGTACTTGTTTATATTTGAAGTATAGGGTCTAGTTTTTGATGCGTACTTGTTTATATTTGAAGTATAGGGTCTAGTTTCTGATGCGTACTTGTTTATATTTGAAGTATAGGGTCTAGTTTCTGATGCGTACTTGTTTATATTTGAAGTATAGGGTCTAGTTTCTGATGCGTACTTGTTTATATTTGAAGTATAGGGTCTAGTTTCTGATGCGTACTTGTTTATATTTGAAGTATAGGGTCTAGTTTCTGATGCGTACTTGTTTATATTTGAAGTATAGGGTCTAGTTTCTGATGCGTACTTGTTTATATTTGAAGTATAGGGTCTAGTTTCTCTGTGTTATTGTGTCTCTTGTGGTCAGAACAACGTCCTGGTTACTTTAAAGATTCATATTGAATTTTTTATTTGAATATCCGTCCTCTGTCTCGATGTTCCTCCTTTATATATATATATATATATATATATATATATATTTAAATGCCTCAGTTATTATCTTTATGTGTATATGAGATGACGATGATGATGATGATGATGATGATGATGGTGATGATGATGTGAAGGAAACGTCTTAATGTTTGTATGTTTTATATTTCTCTACAGATGTGTATTGCGCCTCTCTGATCGTGTTTACATGTAAACAGAATATATATATTTATATAAATGTTATCATTATCTTCTGCTCTATGAAATGTTTACAGGAACAATTCATCAATCACACGAATATCCAAACATGTTTTATCTTTTATACATTTTAATATATCTTTATATTAAAGTTATATGAACTATAAAAGTCACATTTTAAACCTGTTGTCTTTTCCTTCATTATCACTGTGGAGTGTGGGGTCTACTTTAAAGAGTGCAGTCTGTAGTGTCTCTACTTTAAAGAGTGCAGTCTGTAGTGTCTCTACTTTAAAGAGTGCAGTCTGTAGTGTCTCTACTTTAAAGAGTGCAGTCTGTAGTGTCTCTACTTTAAAGAGTGCAGTCTGTAGTGTCTCTACTTTAAAGAGTGCAGTCTGTAGTGTCTCTACTTTAAAGAGTGCAGTCTGTAGTGTCTCTACTTTAAAGAGTGCAGTCTGTAGTGTCTCTACTTTAAAGAGTGCAGTCTGTAGTGTCTCTACTTTAAAGAGTACAGTCTGCTTTAAAGAGTGCAGTCTGTAGTGTCTCTACTTTAAAGAGTACAGTCTGTAGTGTCTCTACTTTAAAGAGTACAGTCTGTAGTGTCTCTACTTTAAAGAGTACAGTCTGCTTTAAAGAGTACAGTCTGTAGTGTCTCTACTTTAAAGAGTGCAGTCTGCTTTAAAGAGTGCAGTCTGCTTTAAAGAGTACAGTCTGCTTTAAAGAGTACAGTCTGTAGTGTCTCTACTTTAAAGAGTGCAGTCTGCTTTAAAGAGTGCAGTCTGCTTAAAGAGTGCAGTCTGTAGTGTCTCTACTTTAAAGAGTGCAGTCTGCTTTAAAGAGTGCAGTCTGCTTTAAAGAGTTGCAGTCTGCTTTAAAGAGTGCAGTCTGTAGTGTCTCTACTTTAAAGAGTGCAGTCTGTAGTGTCTCTACTTTAAAGAGTGCAGTCTGCTTTAAAGAGTGCAGTCTGCTTTAAAGAGTGCAGTCTGCTTTAAAGAGTGCAGTCTGTAGTGTCTCTACTTTAAAGAGTGCAGTCTGTAGTTGTCTCTACTTTAAAGAGTGCAGTCTGTAGTGTCTCTACTTTAAAGAGTGCACTCTGTAGTGTCTCTACTTTAAAGAGTGCAGTCTGTAGTGTCTCTACTTTAAAGAGTG